AAATGGAGCCAGTACTTCCAAAATCATCCCTGGAAGCAAGTATTATCCTGACTCCAAAACCAGAAAAGAATCCACCCAAAAAAGAAAATTACAAGCCAATCTCTCTGATGATCATAGATCCAAAAGTCTTCAATAAGAAACTACAAACAGAATGCATCAAATTATCAAGAAGATTACACACCATAACCAAGTAGGACTCATACCAGGGATGCAGGGATGGTACAACATACATAAATGAATACATGTAATACACCATAGCAACAGAGTGAAAGAATCACATGATCATCTCAATAGATGCAGAAAAAGCTGATAAAGCCCAACACCCATTCATAATAAAAAGCCTACAGAAAACTGGAATGGTCTTGACCCCAATCTGATAAAAGCTATCTATGATAACAGCTAACGTCACATTAATGATCAAAAACAGAAAGCTTTCATCCTACAATCAGGAAAAAGACAAGGATGTCCACTATCACTACTCCTATTCAATAGAGTTCTGGAAACTAGCCAGAACAATTAAATAAAAGAAAGAAATAAAAGGAATAAGGGGTAGGAAAGGAGGAAATTAAAATATTATTTGCAGATGACATGATACTATACTTAGAAGACCCCAAAAACTCTACCAAAAGACTTGTAGACTTTATAATCAAATTTACCAGCATAGCTAGATACAAAGTCAGCACTCAAAAATCAATGGCATTCCCGTACACAAGATTACAGAGAGAGAAATCAGGGAAACCAAACCCTTTAAAATAGCATCCAAAAAAATGAAATACTTAGGAATCAATCTAGTAAAAGATCTATACATTGGAAATTACAGTACTCTGAAAAATGAGACTGAAAAAGCTATCACAAAATGAAAAGGTATCTCTTGCTCATGGGTAGGAAGAACTAACATAGTGAAAATGGCCCTACTTCCAAAAGAGTTACACAGATTAAATGCAATCTCAATCAAAATACCTTCAGCATACCTCACAGAACTAGAGAAAACATTCCTAAAATTCGTTTGCAATCAGAAGACATCTAAAATAGCAAAGGCAATTCTGAGCAACAAAAGCGTGTCAGAGGCATCATAATTCCTGACCTGAAATTATACTACAAAGTTAATACGGGGGGGAAAAAAACAGACCTGAGGATCCATAAAACAGAAGATGCAGACACAGCTTCAAACACACTCAACCACCTTATCTTTGACAAAGAAGCCAAACAAGTTCACTAGTAGAAAGACAATCTCTTTAATAAATGGTGCTGGAAAAACTGGCTTTCCTCATGCCAAAGACAAAAACTAGAACCATGTCTATCATCATGTACTAAAGTCAAAATGGACCAAAGATCTAAAAATTAAAACAGAAACCCTAAATTTCCTGGAAGAGAAAATAGGCAGGAATCTTGAATACATAGATGTAGGCAGAGACTTTATGAACAAAACTCAGACAGCATGGAAAATACAACAAAGAGTCAACAAATGGGATCTCATCTTATTAAAAGTTTTTGCACAATAAAAGAAATCACTAACAGTGAAAAGACAATCCATAGAATGGAAAAAAGTATAGCCAGTTGCGCCTTAAAAGACTTATATTGAGAACATACAAAGAATTTTTAAAAAATCAGAATTCCCCCAATTCAAAGATCCAATCCAATAATGGGTATCTGACACGAATACAAAATTCTCAGGTACAGAACTAAAAATGGCAAATAAATACTTGAAAGTATGTTCCATATCACTGGACATTTGAGAGATGCAAATTAAACAATAAGATTCCATCTCACTCCAGAAAGAATAGCTATCATCAAGAAATCAACTAATAACGAATGCTGGTGGTGGGCTGGGGATTTAGCTTAGTGGTGTAAGCACCTGCCTGGCAAGTACAAGGTCAAGGTACCTTTTATGGTACTAGTACCATAAAAACAAATGCTGGTGGGGCAGTGGGGGAAAAGGAACCCTTTTCCACTGTTGGTGGAAGTGCAGACTGGTGCAACCACTGTGGAAGTCAGTGTGAAGATTCCTCAAAAAACTAGGATTAGAGGTTTCATTGATCCTCCCCTTTATGGGTATCTTCCCAGAAGAGTTAAAAACATGATACTGCTGTGATATATGTGCACACATGTTTACAACAGCACAATTTGTAATAGCTAAATCTCGGAAACAACCCAAATGCACATCAACTGAGGAATGCATAAAAAAATGTGGTCCTTTTACATAATCGAGCACTACTTGGCCATAAAGATGGATAAGCTTGAGACTTTTATAGGTAAACAACCTATATGCAACTCAACAGCATACTCATAAGTGAAATAAATCAGACCCACATGTGTAAACATCATATTGTCTCACTAGTGTGAGAAGCTGAATGAATAAATAAGATCCAAAACGTATAATAAATTTTGTGAACTGGGAAGAAACTGTTCAAAAGAAAAGAGAAGCTAGGATGAGAGCAAGCGGAAGGGAAGGAAGGGAAAAGGGAAAAATATACACACATATACAGGATTGTTAAGATAGTTAAACAGCCAATTTCTCTTGGGTCATTGAAGAGAAAGTTTTGTGCTAATATTGTTTGGACAGTATTTCTTGGTTCTATCTTGTACTGTAAATAAGTACTATGAAGATAACAACATGCAATGTAGTAATTATTGTAACTGTCCTACTATACTGTTTTTAAACTTTTACTATTTTTTTCTTTTAAAATAAAAAGTTTAAAAACTAGAAATCAACAGTTATAAAGTTGAAGGTTTAACATTTCATTAAGATAGCATCCATTATAGTTTGAATAAATTAGTAAAATAAATTTACGAATACATGTCACTGAATCAACGCATGAGTAATACTACAAGAAATGTTCAATATAAATAAAACTTGAATGGGATCATAAGTACTTCCAAATAAACTCAAGTTAGTAATTTACTGAGCATCTACTATGTACAAAAATGCATTATTCTAGGACCTAATAAGATACACAAATATTAGGCCTAGGAGAAACTAACTTAGAATTAACTAGAAGATAAACAGCAAGACTGCCAACTCCTAATCGATAACTGGTTGGTTGCTCTGGAAAATAGCAAGGCTTAGCGATGATCTGATACTACACAAGGTTCCACTCTAAGACATCTTAAATTTAATGGCTTTTGAAAATGACTTAATGTGAATTGGTTTGAAAAATGTCTTTGATGGAGGAAATGGCTTTGATGGCCAATTAGCACAAAAGCACAATATCGAGGCACTGCAGTAATAGATCCAAAGTAACTGGGTGACTCTGAAGGTTTCCTCTGTGCTTTACAGAAGTTGATCCACAGAGAAATGCTGATAGCTGTGACATTCTTCCTTCTTCAACTCTTGGATCACACAATGTTGGCTGCTTTACAGAATGGCATTAGGTAAAAAGCTAAGGAGCAAGTGGTTCCTCAACATCAGATCCCTGGAGCAACATCAGATCCCTGGCTGACTGCTCAAAGCACAAGGAATAGCTGTAGCCATCAAGCAGCCACCAAGGGACATAGAGCAAGGAAAGGACTTGGATAGGCAGGTTCCCCACAGACAGCTTCAGCCAACACTAGCAGGAAGATCTCCAAGCACATCCCTCCAGCACACAGCAGTGGCAAGTATCTTTATCTATCTGCGTGTCGCACACTTGAGAACCAGTATTAGAACTCAGCTACTACAGAAAGTCTATTCCTCATAACACTAATTCCTTCATATCAATCATGTTACAAAAACTGCATTTGAGATATCTGGAGTCGTCCCATCCCATGTCAATTATTTTCAGAACAGCAAGTAGTAAGTCAAAACATTTTGAATTCTTGAGACAAAATTTATCAGCTGTAAACACTACACAATGAAAATATATACATATATATATATATATATATATATACACACATCAAGCTAATGGAATATACAAATTTAATAAAGTCATATTTTCTAACGTTAATAGGATGATACAAAAAGAATGTAATTAAATTTAGTCTTCATTTCAAATAAATGTAAAATTTTTTAAAAGGCAAAATACAATGTCAATACAGAATTTTAACCTTAAAAATACTTCTAAACAATCTATTTTATGGCAAATAAAAGCAAGCATGTCAGAATAACTTTATGTAATTCTTTCAAAATCAAACGGGAATTTTCTCCTTTTTTTACTCTCTCATTATAAGTGAAAAGAGAATCATAAATCCTACTCCTAGGTTTGTTTTTTGTTTTGTTTTGACTTCCAATAAAATCTTATGTTCAGTAAAGCCTAGATCAATAAATAACATTTCCTGTATGTATAAAAGACTGAGATTTGGTATGAAAAATAACAATATTCCTCTTTAACTATTAATATGGAAGAATATACTTTTTAAAAAATTGTTTAAAAGTTAGGACATAATAAGCATTACTTGATCATTATTAGTCCTAGACATACAGTAAAAGATAACCAATGAAACTAAACTAAATAATCACAACTGAAATGAGCCCAACCCTCTGAGGAACCACCGCAGTTAGTATTACAGTTTGAGGAAGATGTGAAGTAAATTTTGCAGTGCAGCTGCCACACTCAAAACATACTCATTCTAATAACTGTCCTGTTTTTATGTATTAGTTTAAAAATAAATTTAATTTTAAAAATAAGATTTTTATATTTTTGGTATCACCCAGTATTCTAATTTTTTCCAAGTTAGTAAATGAAATATATTATCACATTGTAGTCTTACTTTATTGATTACAGCTCTTTATAGGAAATTAATCATATCACCTTTTCCATTATAAAGACTGTTCAGGAAAAACATTCTAATCCCATCCTTAGGATCCATGCTCCTCAACTTATGTATATTTTATACATTTCTATATATATGTAGAAAGAAAGCCTAAGTCCTTTTCTGTGTTCTAAGTTTCCTTCTATCAGAGTGAATCCTTCAGACGACAGCTATAAATACCTTCACAAAAGGACACTGAAATTTAAAAACAGGTAAGTACAAATTAAATTTCCCACAATGCTTTTCATGTACCCCATAGGTGACAGTACCTCTGTTTTTAATGACAGTCCACTGTTAAAAAATATTGTTGCAACAGCAATGTAGGATACAGTTATTTCTGGCTTCAGTGGCCCTAAAAAGAGACAAATGAGACAGTATTAAAAAAGAATTTCCATTTCAAAAGAAGAATCTATTGGAGAAATGAATCATACTTTAACAAGTGTTACCCCCCGAGTCAGTCCTGAGACAGTACAGCATTTGTTGTGATATTGTCTAGTCCCAGAGATGATTTCCCAGAAAGGGTAGGAATCATGACTTTTCCAGAAAGGGTGGTGATCTGGTTCAGCACAAGATCCTCAGACCAGAACAGGTAAGCAACAGCCTTTAAGATAGGTCCTAATTATGCCTACCACAGTATCATTACTGATACCAAAATATCCTCAAAATCAAACAAAAGAATCAATGGATGAAGTTTCTTGCTGTAATTTAGAAAATATCATTTTTTTCTAGGATAACAGAAATAAAGCATTTGTGCCCACATTCAGTTCTGCCCAAGAAAACTCATTCCACCATTATGTATTGCACACCTTCTAAGTGAACTGAATATTACCTATAGAAAACTGTACTTAATAATACACTGCTATGATTTTAATGATTAAATTATGCTAGGTCCTGGGGACACTGTGGTGAACTAGATAGGCCTGCTCTTTGCCCTCCAAAAAATCTCTAGAATTGGGCAGCCTTCTGCACTTGCATTAATACTATAAAAACATGGAGCACATGGATATTTAAAATATCACTTGTAACTTGTACACAATCAGTTGGAAGACGTAACACACTAACCCAAGAACAAGATTCTTTAAAGAATGCAATTCTGAGAAAATGCCACTTCATACCTGTGTATAAATGTTATTTCCAGCAGTGAAAATTATGTCCCTTAAAGATATCTGGCAATATTTGGAAACTTTTTGTTTGTACTCACTCTGGGTATAGGGCATGCTACTAGCATCTATGACAGACATCAGGAATTCTGCTGAACCTCCTAAGAGACTCAAAAAAAGTCCTCCAACAAGTTAACATGTCCGAAATGTCAACAGCATCCAAGTTGAGGAACCTTGGTTTAACTCAACATTTAAAAATCTGAGATCATCTCCTATTTGATATTCTATGCATCCCTTTTGCACTGAACTGATTAGTATTTCTCCAAAACTCACATCTTCCCAGAAATCCAGAACCCATGAATGTGAACTTATTTGGAAATAGGATCTTTGCAGATATAATCAACTTAAGATGAGATCTTACCTGATTAGACATGTATTCTTACAAGAGGACAATTTGGATACAGATGCACACACAAGAGAGACAGTCTTATGAGACTATTGTAGAGACCAGGATTATAACACCACAAGACAAAGAATGCCAAGAATAGCTGGAAGCAGCTAAAAGGAAGGTCGTGTGTGTGTGTGTGTGTGTGTGTGTGTGTGTGTGTGTGTTACTGAGGGATCAACCCAGGGGCTTCTCATTGAGCTACATCTCTAGCACTTTTCTGTTTTATTTTGAGACAAGGCCTCACTAAATTGCTAAATTTCCTATGTTGGGCTCAAACTTGTGATCCTCCGTCCTTACCCTTCCAGAACAGAGGGATTATAGGCGTGTACCAACATGGCTGGTTTGCAAACTATCTTGATTTTGGATTTCTGGCCTCTGGAACTGTAAAAGAATAAATCTCTATTGTTCTAAGCCACATGCTTGTGATAAGTTGTTACTTAGATTCTTTGTTGTTGTTTAACTTGCTACTTTAAAGCAAAACAAGAGAAGACAAACACGGCTCCTCCAAAATCCTCCACCAAATCTACAGATACTGTTCAATAAATGAGTATACGGCTCAACAAGTACTTGTTGAGCACCTACTATATCTTTGGTATTTGGAGTAGTACAATGTGACAAAAGAAAGATCTCAAACACTGTAATAAAATATCTTATATACTTGGAATTAACACAAATCATTTTGTTGAGATCTGAGAAAAGAAGATGAGTATGAAAGGCTGAGCAGTAGAGGCTGCTCATAAACTTTTAAAAAGAGGTACAATATCTTATTTCTCTAACCTTAAGTGAATCTGTTCAGCTCACATTAAGATGTAATACTTCTTCAACAGCTGAGAAGGTAAAGATGATTCAGGGACAGATTCCAAAATCAATGAGTCTGGCATGGTTTAGAAGTACTTTAGATGGTTTGGAAGAATTTTAAATATCTTACATTTTAAAACATGTTACTCTTATTTTCTTCCAAATCCCTGCTTTTTATGAGACACTCTTGCTAATTATGGATCTGTTCACAGTGGCGCCCCCACAGCTTCTCCACAGGAGGGGTCAGAGCAACGTGTTTGCACAGGAGCGCACAGGGACGCGTCTGAAAAGGCGTCTCTGTGGACAGTACGCGGGAGTTACTTCACTGCATGTCTCTGCAGCAGAAAGGGGGCATCGACCTCAGCTGACCAATAGCTACTTGTGCCGTCTTTGTTGGTGTTTTTGCTGTCTTCTTCGCAGTGAGCAGGATCAAACTCAGGGACTCACAGGTGCTAACAAACTAGTCACTACTGAACTGACCCCCGACCCATGGGAATTTAAGTCGCCCAGGCTGGTATTGAACTTGCCATTTTCCTGCTGAGGCTTCCTCAGAAGCTTCGATTATAGGCATACACCACCAGTAACAGCTTAATTTTTTTTTCTTTTTCTTTTTTTCTTTCTTTTTTTTTTTTTTTTTTTCATACAAAGCAAGTCTTATTATAAAATTCTGTAGCTAGTTTTAGGCATTATAAATTTCACTAAAAATTCCAATCTGAAGTATTTGTGCCTTCCAAATGGAATGCTCAAAAACATTTGTTACAATTATGGACACTACTAACAGCCTATAAAAGCCATACTGTTACTTCAGTTTATTTTAACAAGTGTCTCTAGTGAGCATAAGCCAATTACCTGTATTTGATTTATCTAATACCTAAATTAACGAATCTTTCCTGTTTGGGAATCTTAGCAGCAGGAAGAAATACTTTATATTTTATTAGCTTTGGTTTTTAAGAACAAGTGGGATAAGAGAAAGGAGAAAAAGAAGAAGGGAAAATATTATATGTATATAGGTATACATATAGATGTATGTGTATATATATAGACAACTATAGTACTAATCTCTATTAGTTCATCAAAAAAGTTTGTACTTTCATTGTTTAATTGTTTGATCATTTGTTTCATGCCTAAATTTTGTAACCTCAATATGCAATATATCAACTAGTGTTAATTTCCTACTATTTTTTTGAAATTCTGCATTGTTTCTATCCTTTTTCCTGTTTTGTTTTTTAAAATTAAAAAAAAAATTTACAAAAGCTAATTCTTCCTACAATCCATACACACATAAATGAATACACGAAACTATTAACTGATGTAATTTGATGGAATAATCCTAGACTTTTAATGTTTTAAATCCTAGAGACAAAGTATACTATCTTTTTTAACAGGTGTATATCTAAATAACTCTAACCTGTGAAAGAATGTGGGGAGAATTCTGGGGCTACTTAGAACATGCCTGTCAAAAAGAAAGAGAAAGTAATTTTTATTTAGACAAACTCAAGCACCTCGAGGCCAGAGATTTAGCTTAGGGGCATAAACACCTGACTGGTAAGCCCAAGGTAATGAGTTCAATCCCAGGTACCAAAACAAACAAACAAACTCAAGGACCCTCTGAGATACACTCACCTGAGAGACTAAAAGATACCAACTTAGGAATGTAGAATGGGAAGTCACCCACAGCCAAAATACAAACCTGACAAATATTTATACAGAGAACTCAGTTGAAACTATAATATAAAAATACTTGGCCCTCTTTCAGATGAATACTAGCATCCTTCAAGTTACCAAAATAACTAGCTTGAGATCTTAACATAGTTATAAAGCTCAAATGGTTATGTTTTTACCTTTTTTTTTTTTTTTTTTTTAGGCAAAATTCAAAAAGTGCTTTTCAACAAAAATGGAATTGGGGTGGCAAAATCAGAAAAATGGAGCATGGTGGTGCAAAGCACTGCAAGTTCAACTTGTGGAAGTTCAACTGCAGGGTGAACTTTCTACCTAGAAAGTTCAAAACCAACATAGACTACGTAGCAGAAATCTTGTTTCAAAACATTCACACACACATACACACACACACACACACACACACACACACACAAAAAGTATATTGGGGGCTTCAAAACACATGCTTTTGAAAAAGGGATGAAAAAAGGAAAATGTTTTGGAGTACATAAACATAGAATCCGAGAAACTATTTACACTTAGACAAAAGCCACCTATCAACAAAGTAAATTTTACTTGTACACACCTAAAATCCTCTAAAATAGTCACAGCAATATACTAAAAGAATGTTTCTGGTTTGTTTTTTGATGGAAAAATAAATCAGTTTCCTTTTTGAGGGTTAAAGTCTTATTAGTGGCATAATTTAAAATGCAGGTAGAGATGACAAACTTTCAAGGAATCCAAGAAGCCAACTTTTCTTCTCCAAAACATGAACAGCATGGTGTTGAACTCTCATAAACACCCTGCACAGTAATAGCTCAGGGCTTCCTGAGGTCACAGTGGAAAAGATTACCAACTCCTCAGAATCAAAATACTTACATCTGTTATGGAACTTTATTTTCAACTTTCTATACATTTAAAAAACAAAATGTAACTGAGTAAAAAGAATACTGAACTCAGAATTAAGTTAGCTGAGCTTAATAGTTCTCACAATTCTAAGAAAGCTTTTCAAGTTCTCTAATCTTAGCATTCCCACTTCAATAAATTTTGTGTTATACTAACCAACTGACTATAAATACATATGTATTATCTTATTAGTTATATTTTCTAAGTCCATGTTTGCAGTACATAATGATCACACTCCTCATGGGGAGTAGGTGCAGGGACCTAAAACATCTTCATTTTTTTTTTATCACCTTCCTCTCTTCTCCCTTTCCTCTGCTTGTATCTCTTTATCTCATTCTCATAGTGAATGATCTACCTCACTATTTCCCATTATCTTTTATTTTGTTCTCTATTTACATTTTGAGTTTCTCATATATAAAGAACCATGTGATAATTAAACTTGTATGACTGATTTATGTCACTTGACTGTTTCAAGATGTGTCCATTTCCCTACAAAAAACTCAAGTGTAACCTCCTTTATGGCACAGTAGCACATTTTCTTTATTGACTCATCTGTTGATGGACATATATTCCACTTCCAAGATTTAGCTATTGTAAACTGTGTTGCTATAAACATAGACATACACATATCACCACAGTATGCCTTTACCCCTTTCAATTAAGATACCCACAGGAAATGTAGTAGCTAGGTAAAATGTAGTTTATTTTTTTGAGAAATCTCCATAACTTTTTTGAGAAATTTCCATAACTTTTGTACTAGGAGATGTTTAGCACATGCAAAGCCCTGGGTTTGATCCCCAGGACCAAAACAATTAAAATTAAAAAGTTGAATATAGTCATTAATCAAGGTAAAAGTGAATGAGCATGTTAACAACAAATTGAAAAATACCAACTTTTTCCTACTTAAAAGAAATGTCTAGGTAAGTATACAACTGAAAATGTTCCAGTAGATGTGATTCATTAAAAATCATCTCCCTAGGGTACAGAACCCATAAATGGACCTGGTAACTAAGAGCTACAAGACAAAAGGACATACTTTAAAGCATTCTAAAGAGCAAAATATAACAAAATTCTTCAGCAACCATTCTTCTCCTTTTTTCCCTTTTTCCTAGGTATCTGTTGATTTAGCTACTGAAGTAGAAGTGTTATTTGGTACTATTTTGAGGTTTGCTTTTATTTTAAGAGGTTTTTGTGGCCAGAGTAGGAGGTAGTAATCAAAAGCTCCATGGAAGTAAGAACTTTTGTTTCTAGGAAAAACTTTTACATGAGGCATGAGGATAGCTATGGAAGAAACCACATGAATCTACTGCTATCTAGTATTGGCTGATTCTGTCCTGTTCCTTTCAGCTAAAAATCAGAGGATGGAAAAATACCTTTATTCCACAGGGACCTTTCTTTGTAATGCTTATGCATTTTTAATGATTTTTGTCAGAATAGTTATTATGGATTTTGCCACCAATATAAGAAGAGGGGAGCCCTGGTTTCTAGTCATTCCTTTTCCTTAAGCTAGCTAATTTAGCTTCAGATTACTCACCTAGTCCCAGGCTCAATACCTTCAACTATAATAGAAGCATGGGGGGAGTGGAGAAGAGGTACAGTGGATGCTCAGCATGGGAGAAGCCCTGGTTTCAATCTCCAGCATCTCAACAAAAATAAATAAATAAATAAATAAAAGTAGCATGCTGACATGCTGACTTAAAAGGTTCCTTTCAGCTCTTAAAATTCTCCTACTTTTTCATAATTAAGCACAGAAATGAATTATCCTGTTTTGGTAGTACGACAAGGGAAAATGGGAAATGATATTCTTAAGTTACACCAACGTACCCATGTACCAAAACTTCAATAAGCAGAGTCCAAGAGTACAGAATCTATCTCTCATCTGACAGTGCTGGGAAGCTCTAAGGAAATGATTGACCTTTCAGCAACTTTCCTGCCCACCTTAGTTCGGGAACTAAGACAAAAGATATTTTGCCAAACCTAGTCCTTGCAGATTTAAACATAAATGATGATCATAAACCTCTAATTTCATTTCCAAACTGGGCAAATTAGAGTTCCAACACCAGAAGCTCTAACTTGTGAAGACTGCCTTGCAGATTACCACAAAGACACTTTAATTCTGGGCAGCAGCATGGGATTTCTTCATTTGACCTAATCTGAAATACAACCTTTACCAATTTCCCATTTGGGAGTATTTACTCACAGAAAGGTTGTGTCAAAGACACAACTGGTATCTTCAGAGGGAGAAACCACAAGGAATAATGGGCTCATTCTCACAGATACAAGTTCTGTACATTTTGCACTAAATTAAATATAGAAGGGAAAAAAAGCATTCATTTCTGCAATCTTTGTTTAAAATGATTCCAGCATCTATTCTAAAGGGAGGAATTGAATGTCAAGAGAAAAAAGAATATTCTCCTGAGAGATCATTCTTTCCTTTCCATCATGTTTGAAGAAAAAGGTACAAATAACTTCAAATATTCTCAACGTTTCCTACTATAAAAAGATTGTGTATACTCTTTTCTGTCTTTGTATGCTGCCATCATATGACTTACATATTGAATCTGTCAATAAGCTTGGAAACCAACAAACAAGTCAAAAGACGAAAAAACTGAAGGGAGTAAATTAACGCTTATGAAAAGTAGGAAAAGGCTGTCTAAAGGTGAGAGGATGAGGTTATAAAGGGACATGGTATGTCCAGTGTTCCCAGCAGGGTCCACAGGCCACATTACAAAGCTTCCACTATTAGCGATGTAAGCAGGTTCTTAGCGCATTTATCTCTCCTCGACAAAACACACACTACACAGGGTCTAACACAGTCTGCATCTGGTAGACCACTAGCGTAGCAACTGAATCCCAGCAGCACACGGAAGTAGGGTCCAGGAATGAAAGTGTGCGACGTGTCATTCGGCCTGAGAGTTTCAAAGGTGCCAGCAACTGCAGCAAATCATCGTTCTCACCATGTAGGCCACAAAAATCTGAGTTGGGGGCGAAAATGTCTTTTTTTTTTTTTTTTCTTTTTCCTTTTCTTTTCTATTTTCTCCCCTCCACTTTTTTTTAATGGGGAGGAGTCGAAAATAAACTAGAGAATAAGGTCTGGTTTCCGAGACAGATAAGAAAGTGCTGGCAACCCAGATTCCCTTGGGATGGGATGCTACAAGAGGACTAAGTTTCATTCTCTGTAACTTCACTCGATACCGAGGACAGGCATTGATTGTTCGCAGCAAAGGCAATCTGCGCTCAAATTCCCTCGCCTCATTCCTAATTCCAAGTGCTCGCTAAGGCTGGTAAATTGGAAAATCAGCCAAGGGGGCCAAGGGACACGCCAGGCTGGCCCGCGCCCGAGACAGGGGCAGGCGCTTCCCCGGCACGCGCGCCCCTCCTTCCCTCCACTGGCGGACGGTGCAGCCGGAGAGGCGCGGCTCTTACCCCCGTTCACTCCCACGGACGGCTTCAGCTTCGCTCCGGCGATGGCCACCACGATTCCGATCATGAACCATTCCTTCCTCATTCTCTCCAGCAGCCTCATGTTTGCTAGGGCGGGTGGGTTTTGTTTATCTGTTTGGCTTTTTTTCTTGGCAAACTGCGATACCTTAATCCCCGGGGCGTCTCCACACTTTGCTCGGCGCCTCCAGACATGCAGCAGAGCAAGTCAAATTGCCACTTGTAAACTAAAGCGCGGAGGGCGGCTTGGGCATCCGGGAGGAGGGCTGGGAATAGTAGTATCCAGTGACGGGGAAGTCTCACAGAGCGCCGCCATTGTTACCACGCGACGCCTAAGAGGCGCGCAGCAGGTCCCCGCACAGCCGCTCCCACCGCGGGATCCTCACGAATCAGGGATCTGAAACTGACCCTTGGGCAACACTGGTAAGCGCAAACGCCTGGGGAAGGAAGGCTAGCCAACCGGGAGGACTAGCAAACCCGCTAATGCCTGGACATGCCCCCGCCTCAGAATGACAGGGCGGGGAAGCGTCGAGAGGAGCCACAGCCTCCCACGAGCCTCAACAAGTCTCGCTTACAACAAACTTTCGGGCAAAGCTGGCCGAGCCCCTAGAATACACATGCACCGCGCGCCTCCTTTCTGCCTGACAGGAGCTCGTGGCAAGGGCGGGCGTGCCGCCGGGATAGGAATCCCTCCCTTGGAGGTGCGCCGGCGGACCTGCAGTTTTGATGCGCTCTTCTTCGGGGCATTACGGCTGCCCCAGCCGGCGGCGTGACGTAGCGCGGGGGAGGCGGCCTCTCCCAGTCTCCGGGTTCCCGGCACCCGCGGGTTGGAGCTGGGCGCATTTGGCGGTCCGCAGGGAAAGGGCGCGGTAGTGAGGAGCTCTTACCCCGGGCGAGGGCTGCAAGTTGTATTCCTGGCAGATGCCCAAGCCTTCCAGCACCCGCTGCTTCCGGGAAGGCAGGCCGAAACTTACCTGGTCGCAGGCAGACGACACCCGGCCCCGGGAGTGGGAGGACCTGGAGGGCGAGTGGCTGTGCGGAGCTCTTCGCCACCCAGAAACTTGCACGTGGGTGAAGCAGGGTCTCCAGTCGCGAGTCCAGGTCTGGTTCACACGCCCCACAACCCCCCCCGGGGGGGGGGGCAGAACTCTAGGGAGAAACCAGGCACCTCTTCTGAGGGGCGTGGGGTCCTGGGATCAGTTCCTTGTGACCTGTGGCACTTGGTTTCTTGAATGGACTTCCTACCTTTAGAACTACAGGAGCATCAGCCCCTCCCCGTTATGCCCCAAGTAAAGCAAACACTATGTGACATTTGAAGTGGCCTGGCATCTTCCACTTGAATGATAGTGAAACTTCAAGAAGGTTTGGAAGGGAGTCGATACTAAACTAATTCTGAATTCATTCAAGGCTTGAAAAAGAGACATCGTCAAAGTTTCCCTATTTAATTTCGCTTTGTCTTGAAGAAACAGTTTTGTATCCAAAAACTGAGCTGCCTTAAGCAGCTGTGTTAGTGTTTGTAAGTTACACAACACCCAGTGCCATAACACTTGAGGTAATTAAAATAAAAAGTTAATCTCAATAGGGGGACAGAAACACAATTTATAAAAGCAAAAGGCACATGAACTATCAAACTCCGATGTTAATTATAAAAGTTATAAGTGGATATATATGAAACATACTTTACTATGTATTTTTGAGAGAATCTTCCTACCTTAAAAAGGCTTACATTTATTAATGACTGATCTGTGTAGGGTAGAATCTAAAGGGGTTTTTTTAAATTTCATTTTATTACTTAAAAGAAGAGTTCATTGTGACTTCTATTGAGTTAAGACCTGTATTAGTTTAATACAACTGCTGCAATAAATCCCCAAAACTACATGCCTTCAAATGCAAAAAATGTGTTGTCTCACAGTTCTAGAGAACAGAAATCCAAAATCAAGGTGTCAGCAGAGGTACTGAGGTCCACAAAAAGTCCTGCACCAGCCCAAGTTCTTCATAACCCACCTAAGAGTGCTTGAAGGTGTCAGTGTCCAGAGAACTACTGAAGGCAGGTAAAGGCCAACTCTTAACTCCAGACAGAATCTACTCTTCAAACAAGTTGGGTAGAGAGGATTCTATTACTAGGCCAAGTTCACGACTTCCTCCCACAGACACCCAGGCTTGAAACATTAAAGAGAAGAAACAGAAGCTTCTCCTCATAGATGCTTCAATATGAAACTATTGATGTGACCCATGGCAAAATATCAATGTGCCATCATTTGCCATGAATCAGGCCGATGCAAAAGAGGATTCTTGAAAAGAGAATTGCCAGGACAGTTGAGAATAGAGTTGAAGCCCAGGATAGCAATGTTGCTTATGAAGTCATTGTAGATAACATTAAGCCTTTAAGTCAGAAGGAGGAAAGGCAGGATTAAAGTTCTGGATAATGCAGCAACTAAAAATAAGGAACAATGAAATAAATATTCTCAAAAGAAACAGGTGATATATACCTGCTAATTCTGTGAAAAATGACAGTCTGTGTGTTTTGCATTTTTGATACCTACAGTACTGTTACGTGTTAAATGAAAAGCTTTTAACAGTTTGAGCAAAGAACAGTTGTGAATTGGGCAGCACTTGAGATGGAAAGCGGTTCAGAGTGCTCCGTTTTGTACTGAGGGCAGTGTGCTTTTGTAGCTGTATACAGATATGAAATACAGAAATAACTTGCTTTGTTATGGTGAGGCCTTTAGATCTGGTCTGATCCATGGGGAGCCTGGAATTGGCTGCCATGTAGCTATTTGTGTTTGTCTTAAACCCAGATATTTGTTATAAAAATACACTCATATTTCAGCTGTTAAAAATTTTTTTTCTTAGTTACATTGCATGTTTTGATTATACTTGCTTCTCTAAATTTTGTACCACAGTGTCTCTAGTTCATAGTTACTTCAAAATAACTAAAATTTTAAATGTTTTACTACAAAGAAATTTTCAAAGTGATAGATGTGTTAATTATCCTGATTTGATCATTACATAGTGTTTACAGGTATCAGAATGACATTCCATAGATTTGTGCAGTTATGTGTCAGTGTTAATAAACAGAAAAAACATACCCCCCCCAACCAAAAGCAAAAGCAAAATCAAGGCTGGGGATTTAGCTCAGCGGCATAAGCACCTGCCTTGCAAGCAGGCGGTCGTTAGTTCGATCCCCGGTACGGAAAAAAAGACCAAAAAAACCAAACAAACAAACAAACAAAAAAAAAGCAAAATCAAGGTATTGATGGGGTCACACACTCTCTAAAGGCAGTAGAGGGAAATCCCATATACCCCTCATTCCCCGTCCCCTACTCTTTGCCCCCCCCCCATTTCTGGTGACTGTGTTGCTTAGTAGCTTCCTTGCTTTAGCCTGCCGCGCTGCAGTCTCAGTCTTTGTTTTCACATCACATTCTTCTCTGTCTGTCTGTCTAGTGGTTACATCACACCAGTCTCTGCATTTATGATTAGATTGTACCTCCTATTGTGTGTGTCTTCTAAAAACATGTGTCCTTGAATTTATAGTCCATTCCTAATCCAGAATGTCTTCTCAAGATCCTTTAATTAGATTTACATATATCCTTCTCCAAGTTAGGTGACTGCTGTGTTGAATAGTGTCCCCCAACAATCCATGAGCTACTGAAATCTCAGAATTTGATCTTAGTTGGAAGTCAACATCTTTGCAGGTGTAGTTGAGATGAGGCACTGGATTAAGGCAGGTTCTAGATTCAGTGAATGGTGGTCTTAAAAGAATTTCTTGTGAAAACAAGACACACACAGAGAACACTATGTGAAGATGAAAGCAGAAATTGGACTGTTGTGTCAACCAGTCAAGGAATGCCACAAATGCTCACCAGCCACCAGAAGCTAAGAGAAACATGAAACAGTTTTCTTTAATGCTTCTAGCAGGAACAAATCCTACCAACATCTTTCAGACTTATGACCTCCTGAACTGAGAAACTAATGTTTTGTAATACACAATTTATAGTGCTTGTTCCAGCAATCCTAGGGAAAGAATACAGGAATATTCACAGACTCTAGGGATTTGATATGAACTTATCTTTGGTGTGGCCACCATTAAACCCATACAAGGCCCTTCCCTGCCTTCTCATTATTCCATAAATGTCTTTAGTAACTCTTACAGCTCTTCTTTCTCACTCATTTTTTTTCCTTTACTTTGCCTCAAGTTTTTCTCAATGTCAAACCTCCTGCTTTATCTGACATCATGCCAATCAAAATAGACACAAAAATATCTCTAAAAGACACAATAGACTGTTACTCAATATTGTTTATTTTCTGTTGCTCTAGCAGGATACATGAGATCAAGTAATTTATAAAGAATTCATAACTCTGAAGGAAGTACAGAGCATAACCCAGCACCTGGTGAGGGCTTCTTCCTACATCACAACTTGATGGGTGACATCACACGGCAAGATAGAGCACTATTCCAGCATGGGTCTCTCACTCTGTTACAAAGCCACTCCTACCATCTTGGAGGCCCCCCTTTTATGACCTCTAGTCCTAGTTGCTCTCCAAATCCTTTTAAATAACATGCAAATGCAAATTTTAGGGTTACATTTCTAATACAAGGACTTTAGGGGAACACATTCAAACCATAGAAAATACTTGCAATTGAAATAGTTAATATGCCTTTGCCGTGAGGCAGGCACGTATCAGATGCCGAGCACTCAGTGCTGAATAAGGAGAGACTCAAAACCTGCCTTTGTGGAGCTTATGAAGGAAACAAGACGTAATTTGTGGAATTAAAAAAGCAAGTCGATGAGAATAACCTGGATTGGGGAAGGCAGCTAGAGATCTTAACATGTATATGGAAGTTTTCTTAGGGAGGAGCTTGACTTTCTGTGAAGCTAGTATGAGGTGGTGAGAGGACAGTCACGTTAGAAAGAGCAGGCAGGGCAAAAATCACATGAAACTTCATATTCTGGCAAAGCATTTAGTGTTTTATCAAAACTCTGCAAAGCCATTAAATTTTAAACAAGTTAGTAACATGCTCATTTTTGCTGAAAAGATTATTGTAGAAGTAGTCTAGACAAATCAGAAGGAAATTAAGTAATGGTACTGGAGAAAACAATTAGCATAAGAACTAGTATAAACAAGAAAAATCAGAAATAAATTAACAGTCAACTACAAGGGCTTAAAGATGAAATCTAAAATGATTGCCAGGAGTTTGGTAGGTAGAAGCTGGTATCATTCTTTTAGCCAGGAAATCTTTACCAAGTACATTTAAGGAAGAGATCTTAAAATTCAGTTTTATGTACCTTGAGCTCAAGGGACCTTGAAGCATAAAAATGGAGCA